TGAACTTCACCGCTACAACATCTATGACATTAGCTAAGTTTTTCTACGGCATGGGCACTTGGTACTGGATCACACCTGCAGCCGCTGACCAATGCCCTCTTGTTAGCACAGAAAGTGCAATCGGAAAATGAATTTTTGGGCGCTTGGTGCTGGACCACACCTGCAGCCACTGACCAATGCCCGTTTGTTAGCATACAAACTGCAATCGAAAAATGACTGGTTTGGGTGCTTGGTACTGGACCACACCTGCAAAACCGAAAACTCTCCCATCACGTGTTTCAAAGTGAACTACACCTTCAAACTTCAGGCTTGGACAGCGAGACGGACTGCACCTTCAGGCTTCTCACACTTGAAAAACGAGAAGGGCTACACCCTCAGGCTTGAACAATTAGGACGAGCCTTCGCCTTACTTCTACACCGGTAGCTCCTCTTGCTATGCATCGTTTTACATTGATGACGTTTGCTGTGGCTAGACTAGATGTCGTGAGGCCTCACACAACCAAATCAAAAGGAACACTTGAAAGCGCAATGGTCTCTAAACTCAAAAAAACCGAAAACTCTCCTATCACGTGCTTCACAGTGAACTACACCTTTAAGCTTCAGGCTTTAACAGCGAAAAGGACTACACCTTCAGGCCTCAGACTTCAGGCTTCACACTTCAAACGCGATAAGGACTTGCTACACCCTCAGGCTTGCACAGCGAAAAAGTAGGGCGCCTTCAAGCTTGAACCTCCGGTTGCCGGGCTCATGCCAATATCACCGAACCCCAACCCTCAACCTTGCACGACTGGACGACACCTGCAGCCACTAACCAATGCCCTTTGGCTCGCACGCAAGCTGCCATCCCAAAATGACTGTGTTAGGGTTGGGACTTTAAGGTTGTTTGGGGTGAAAATCTTCTTGAGCATCGTCTGTTCCAAAAACACGTTCAGGCTCACAGCCGCATCACTGCTACTGCACATGCTTCGGCTGCTTCGGCACAGCACTGCTGCGCCACCGTAGGCTTTCTCCTCTCGACATTGCCGAGCGCACAGCGCCACAGCCCATTGGATTGTCAAGCCTCGGCATACTAGGGTTGGGGCTTTGAGGTTGTTTGGGGTCAACGTCTTCAGGGGGATGTTGTGTTCCACAAAAATCCAAACACTAGTTCAAGCTCACAGCAAGAGTTCCAATAACACGTTCAGGCTCACAACCAAATCACTGTTATTGCACATGAAGCGCCGACCTTAGCCGGTTTTGACCTAGACCCTTGAAGCCTAGCTCCGTGCTTTTTAGGCTCCGCGCCGTGCGAATGAGGCTTGAGCATGCTTGAGCCATTCGGTGTTTCGCCGTGTAAAAGCTTGTCAATCTGCTTATTAGCCTAGCAGCTGCCCGTTCGCTCAGATGTTTCTTTTCGTCGCCGCAGGCTCCGCGCCGTGCGAATGAGGCTTGAGCATGCCTGAGCCATTCGGTGTTTCGCCATGTAAAAATCTTGTCAATCAAGCAATCGGCTTCATGACGCATGCAATGCGAACTCGTGGGACATGCAACAGAAGCTCACTTTGCAAAATCTTGAATAGATATGTGTACGAACCAAGCGCACTCTGGGAAAGTTCAATAGAATTCTGTGTGGAAACGAAGCTCATTCCAGCAATGCATGTCTAAGCTTTTAGCACGATTTGCACATATATCTCAGTTGCACTTTGTACAGTTTCACAGAAAAAAACACGCACAATTAGCAGCCAGGATGTGTAGTTCAGCAAGGTAATTGCAGGTAAATGTGGTAAGTTGCCACTACTTGCATTCACGGCTACAACATCTATGACATTAGCTAAGTTCTTATGCGGCATGGGCGCTTGGTACTGGACCACACCTGCAGCCACTGACCAATGCCCTCTGTTAGCACACAAGCTGCAATGGCAAAATGACTGTTCTGGGCGCTTCGTACTGGACCACACCTGCGTTATTAACGCATCCTAGTTTTTCATGAGGAAGAGAAAACCTCGAGCGATTATGTTTATTTCGTCCTATTTCCCAGCGATTGCAAGGAGCCCGCGAGCAACTGTTGTTAATGCATGTTATTTTCCGGAAATTGACAGGTCTGACAGGAACCGTGAGCGACTATTTTGAACTCATCCTACCTTTTCGGGAACTGGCAGGAATCGCGGGCGACTATTTTCAAGTCATCCTAGCTGCTGTCCTGGCTTCTCATGAGGTAGACGGAACCGATTAAAAAGAAATCTGAACGACGTTAGTAAACCATTGTAGCTTTTCGGGAGGTGGAAGGAACTGTGGGCGACTATTTTTAACTCGTCATATCTTGCAAGGAACCGTGAGCTCACTTTTCGGGAATTGGAAGTGGTGGTGTTCGCCGTGGCGGCGGTGGCTGAGGGGGGGCATATTGATGTGCCGGCGCACAAGTACTTCTGCAAGTCCGGAAAGAACCGTGAGCGACTACATTTAACTCATCCTAGCTTCTCGGGCGCATATTCGCAAAATCAACGGCGCAAGCGGGATTCTGAGGCTCCGGGCAAGGTGCCAACTCATGATGCCCATGTTGGGTCCACGGATCTTAGGGTCTAAAGGCCCGAGGTGTTCAATCTTTTCAAGTTCTGAAACGTCTGTTGTTTTGATTTACTGGTTTGTCGCTGTGCAATTTCTGAAGCATGCTTTTCGCAAAGAATGGCTGCGGGCTCTCAGGACCTGGGTTGTTCTGCATGCAGGACCGGTCGAGACGAGAAGCAGGCAAGCATGAAATCAAATCGCAAGGGTGCTTTTCACGCTCATCGTCAGCATGCGAGCTGCCAGCAACAACGTGTTTCAAAAATCAGCTGCGCACTCCGGCTCCTGCCCTGCTGCGAAAATCATTTGAGCCATGCTGGTCATAGCCATCCCAAGAATCGTCTTGGGCCTTTTCCTCTTCCTCTTCCATGTCCTCTTCCCCATAGTCCTCCGGAGCTTCGTACCCCTGGGGAGCTTCTGCATCTGTGGGGCGAAAATTGTCCGGGTGATAGAAAATGTAGCTGCAGGAAAAGGTACGGCTTGTCCAACCGTATTTCGAACAGCTGAACATGCGGCCATAATCTTGCATTCTGTTGCTCCACCACGCTTTCCAGCTCGCTGTTGGGAGGTGGCAAGAGGGGCACCGGTGCTTCTCCCCTGGCAAGTCTTCCCAAGACGGGCAATCGGGCACATGATCGGGCCACTGCCCTTCCCAGTTGCAGTTGCCCTTCGAGGAATGCGGCTTCTCCGCTTGCCGTTGTTCGTCGCCTTCCGCCGAAGAATCCGGCTTTCGCACCACCATGTGTGAAACCTTCTTCTCCCGCTTGGCCCTGGCAACAACTGTCGCCACCGCCTGCTGGCGTGCTTCTTTCCAAATTTTGCCGCGGACGTAGCCCGGATTGGACCCCGAACCAGAGGCTCGGTGACGTGTCCTCCGGGAGACCTTTTCTTCCAATCTCCTCTCTTCCGCTTTTGTGAACTCAGCCTTCTTACGGTCCCAAAACCATTCGACTGTCTTGTTCTTGGCCGTGTCCGGATCCGTGCCGCGGGAGATCTCGCGCAGGTAGTCACCCCACCCATATGCTCGCTTCACTGCGCGGTGCCTGAGGCACTGGAGCGGGCAGTTTTTCTGGGTGTGCCTTGCATAGTCTTTCCAACAGCCAGCACAACTCACGATCTTCTGCGCGGTCTTGTAGCACTTTGCACAGAAACACCTCATGATTTCCTGCATGGCATCAAGGTCGTCTTCGTTGTAGGAGATCAAAGGCTGTGCTTTTTTGGACTCCGCAGCCGTCCCGTTTTTGCTTTCTTTGTCCATCTCCGGCAGCACGTCGCAGCTTGAGTCCAGATCCATCACTGACCCCGCAGACGCTTGCAACTTTTCCAAGAGCCGACCTTCTGATTCTTCCTTAGCGAAAGACTCCTGTTGGGATTTCTCTACGTCCACCAGAGGAGCTTCTGGGGGATGATCTTCCCTCACCGACGACATGGCTGGCTAAGAGAGCGGCTTAGGGCCGTGCACTACAACACGGGCTTGTGGCTTCGGGCCTGAAGATGTTTCTCTTCGTCGCCGCAGGCTCCGTGCCGTGATGCTTCTCTTCGTCGCCGCAGGCTCCGTGCCGTGCGGATGAGGCTTGAGCCATGCGGTGTTTCGCCGGGGAAAAAATCTTGTCAACCAAGCGGTTTCATGACACATGCAATGTGATCTCGTGACACCTGCAAAAGAATCTCACTCTGGATGTATACAAGCCATGCTCACCCTACGAAAATTCAATGGCAATGTCTGCGCACAAGCTGCAATCGCAAACTGACTGTTTTGGGCGCTTGGCACTGGACCACACCTGCAAAACCGAAAACTCTCCCATCACGTGTTTCGGCGCGATCTAAACCTTCAAACTTCAGGCGTGAGCAGCGAGAAGGACGACACCTTCAGGCCTCTCACGCTTGAAAAACGCACAGGCTTGAACAACGAAGAATAGGACAGCTTCAAGCTTGAAACTTCAGTTTGCGGAACTCTGCAGTCTGCAGCGTGCGACATGCTCACATGAGCGCCGGGCTCATGCTGGACCATACCTGCAGCCACTCTTGTTAGCACAGAAAAGGTTCAATCGCAAAATGACTGTTCTCGGCACTAAGTGCTAGACCACACCTGCAAAACCGAAAACTCTCCCATCACGCTTCAGAATGAACTACACCTTGAAGCTTCAGGCTTGAGCAGCGAGAGGCACTACACCTTCAAGCCGCAGACTTCAAGCTTCACACTTGCAAAGCGAGAACAGGCAGAAGCAATTGAAAAGCGAAAAATAGGGCACCTTCGAGCTTGAACCTTCGGTTGCCGGGCCCATGCAGAAATCACGGAACTCCAACCCTGAATCTTGCACGGTCCGAAAGTTAAACTTATGACTTCAAGCCCTCGAAAACACCCCACAACACCGGAAGGCCTGACCCACGAACCTGCTGAGCTTTAGCCTTCGCCCCTGACAGTCTCATGACGATGGCTACCCTAAACCCTAAACTTCCTAAACGCTCTTTGCTGTGTCCGGGTCCATGCCGCGCAGGTAGTCACCCCAGCCATCTTGCCCATATGCCCGCGTCACTGCGCGGTGCTTCAGGCACTGGGGTGGGCAATTCTTTTCGGTGCGCCTTGCATAGTCCCTCCAACAGCCAGCGCAGCTCACGACTTTCTGCGCTGTCTTGCAGCACATTGCGCACCAACATCTCATGATCTCTTGCAAGGCATCCAAGTCGTCTTCGTTGTATGAAATCATTTGCGGCTTTGCTTTTTGTTTCGATTCTGCAGCCGGAGCGTTTTTGCTTTCTTTGTCCATCTCCGGCAGCACGTCGCTGCTTGAATCCAGATCCATCACTGACCCCGCAGATGCTTGCAGCTTTGCCAAGAGCCGACCTTCTGGTTCTTCCTTCACGAGGGATTCTTGTTGGGATTTCTCTGCATCGATCCGAGGAGCTGCTGGGGGATGATCATCGCTCACCAACGACATGGCTGGCTAAGAGAACGGCTTAGGGCCGTGCACTGCAGCGCGGGCTTGTGGCTTCGCGGCTGAAGATGTTTTTTCTTCGTCGCCGCAGGCTCCTCGCCGTGCGGTGGGGCTTGAGCCATTCGGTGTTTCGTCGTGTAAAGAAAAGGTTGTCAACCGATCGGTTTCATATGACACATGCAATGCTAACTCGTGACACCTGCAAAGGAAACTCACTCTTCATGTGTACAAACCACGCTCACCCTACGAAGATTCAATGGCAATGTCTGCGCGAACGAAGCTCATTCCAGCAATGCCTGTCGAAACTTTTTGCACACATATATCCAAGCTGCACGCTGCATAGGCCCGCATAAACAAAAAACTATTCATCTTCGCCGGAGACACGTGCGGCGAGCCGTTGTTGATGAGTAAGATTGACACAAATTCCAATGCCTAATTCCCTCCCTTAAGTTACAACCGAACAATAATGCCACTAGCAGGTTCTGATACGGCATGGGCGCTTGGTACTGGACCACTGCAGCCACTGACCAATGCCCTCTTCTTGGCACACAAGCTGCAATCGCAAAATGACTGTTTTGGGCACTTGGTGCTGGACCACACCTGCAGCCACTGACCAATGCCCTTGTGTTAGCACACAAGCTGCAATCGCAAAGCGATGGTTTTGGGCATTTGGTACTGGACCACACATGCAAAACTGCAAACTCTCCTATCACGTGTCTCAGAGTTAACTGCACCTTCAAGCTTCAAGGTTGAACCGCGAAAAAGATTACACCTTCTGTACCTTCAGGCTTCTCACACTTGAAAAAGCCTTCAGTGTTGAACAACAAAAGAGTAGGACACCTTCAAGCTTGAACTTTCGGTTCGCGTAATTCTGCATTTCGCGACATGCTCGCATGAGCGCCGGGCTGATGCTGGACCACACCTGCAGCCACTCTTGTGAGCGCATTTGGACCACATCTGCAAAAGCGAAAACTCTCCTATCACGTGTTCCAAAGTGAACTGCACCTTCAAGCTTCAGGCTTCAACAGCGAAATAGATTACACCGTCAGTACTTTCAGGCTTCTCACACTTGAAAAGCCTTCAGTTTTGAACAACGAGAGTAGGGCACGTTCAAGCTTGAACCTTCGGTTCGCGTAATTCTGCAATGCGCGACATGCTCACATAAGCGCCGGGCTCATCCTGGACCACGCGCGCAGGTCACCTGCAGCCACTCTTGTTAGCGCAGGAAAAGGTGCAATCACAAAATGACTGTTTTGGGGCGCTAAGTCCAACCCCCACCTGCAAAACCGTGAACAGCGAAAAGTAAGGCACCTTCATGCTTGAACCTTCGGTTGCCGGGCTCATGCCAAAATCACCGAGCACCAACCCTGAACCTTACACGGCCCGAGCGTGCACGGAAGCTCATGACCTAAACCCCTCCTATCACCCACAACACCGGAAGACCTGACCCAAGAACTTGCTGAGCCTTAGCATTCCCCCGTCTTCCTGCCCTTGAAAGTGCCGTCAAACTAGTGGGCCCTCGACACTGCTGAGCACGTCACCACCGCCCTTTGCATTTTCAAGCCTCGGCATGTTAGGGCTGGGACTTTAAAGTTGTTAGGAGTTGAAGTCTTCTGGGGCATCGCTTGTTCCAACAAAAAGGTCCAGGCTCACAGCCAAGCCACTGCTACTGCACATGCTTGGGCTGCTTCTGCACAGCACCGCTGCACCACCGTAGGCTTTCTCCCCTCGACATTGCCGAAGGCACTGCGCCACAGCCCATTGGATTGTCAAGCCTCGGAATATTAGGGTTGGGGCTTCGAGGTTGCTTGGGGTTTGAGTCTTCAGGGGGATGTTCTGTTCCAAAAACACGTTCAAGCTCACAGCGAAATCACAGCTACTGCACATGCTTCGCTTGGCTCTGCGAAGCACTGCTGCCCCACCGTGTGCGCTTTCCTCTAGACATTGCTGAGCACACCGCGCCACAACCCATTGCATTGTCAAGCTTCGGCATGTTAGGCTTGGGACGTTTAAAGTTCCTAAATCCCAAACCAAAAAAAATTTACGCATCCTAGCTTTTCTTGAGGAACACACGGAAGCCCGAGCGACTATGTTGGATTCTAGCATTAGGGACCGTCTCATGACTATGGCTACCCTACACCCTAAACTTCCTAAACCCTCCGACGCTGCTGAGCGCACCGCACCACGGCCCTTTGCATTGTCAAGCCTCGGCATGTTAGGGTTAGGACTTTAAGGTTGTTTGGGGTTAAAATCTTCTTGGGCATCGTCTGTTGCAGAAACACGTTCAGGCTCACAGCCGCATCACTGCTACTGCACATGCGTCGGCTGCTTCTGCACAGCACTGCTGCGCCACCGTAGGTTTTCTCCTTTCGACATTGCCGAGGGCACTGCGCCACAGCCCATTGGATTGTCAAGCCTCGGCATATTAGGGTTGGGGCTTTAAGGTTGTTTGGGGTTAAAGTCTTCAGGGGGATTTTCTGTTCCAAGATAATCCAAAAACAAGTTCAAGCTCACAGCGAAAGTTCCAATAACACGCTCAGGCTCACAACCAAATCACTGCTACTGCACACGAAGCCCCGACCTAAGGGCATGGCTTTTTTTCTTATGCGGACGGTTTCTCCCCTTATGCGACCGGCTTTTCCTTATGCTGACGGTTTCCCCTCTTATGCTCATCTGGCTTCCTTTTATGCTCATCTGGCTTTGTCTTATGCGAACCTGGTTTTTCCTTATGCTGTCTGCCACCCCCTCTATCCTTACGCTTGACTCCGCCCCCCTGACCTCTGCACTGTTCTCCCTGCTCTCCTGCCCTGCCCTTCCCTCTCCTGTGCCAGGCACGAGGGAAAGCAAGCTATCGGGGAAGCCCCATGTACGGGGGTGAGGGATAAAAAAAAATTAAATAAGGATAAAAAATGAATGGCAGTATCAAAAAAATTAAAATAAGGATCAACAAAATAATCATTTAAAATACAGCCATTCCTGGGGCAGAGGCATCAACAAATAATTAAATAAGCATCGAAGAAATACAGCAATTCCTGAATTTTTCCAAGGGGAAACACTATTTTCCTACGGATTCTCTCTTTCATTTCCTTAGGATTTGCTGGGTTTTTGCCTCTGAAAAAACACGATCTTCCTGCGGATTGCGTGATATTTCCTTAAGATTCCCTTGGTTTTCCTACGAAAAAACACTATTTCCCTATTACCTATGGCGAAGGAAAACATACGTTACCCTGGTTATTCCTCGGGAGAATCAGATTTTCCTTTCTTTTTCGCATTTAGGACGGATTTCGTGTCGTAATTGTTGCTGGTAGTAGTGTTGTTGCTGTTGTTGATGTTGTCGTTGTGGTTGTAGTATGTTGTAGTCGTAGTTAGTAGTAGTAGTAGTAGTAGTAGTAGTAGTAGTAGTAGTAGTAGTAGTAGTAGTAGTAGTAGTAATAGTAGTAGTAGTAGTAGTAGTACTAGTAGTAGTAGTAGTAGTAGTAGTCGTCGTCGTAGTAGTAGTAGTAGTACTAGTAGTCGTCGTAGTAGCAGTAGAAGTAGAAGTAGTAGTAGTAGTAGTCGTAGTCGTACTAGTAGGTTGGCCCATGGATGCTCTGCGGCAATGGATATGGTCTGATCTGGGCGTGATCATGGTTCGCCCATGGATGCTCTGCGGCAATGGATATGGTCTGATCTGGACGTGATCATGGTTGGCCCATGGATGCTCTGCGGCAATGGATATGGTCTGATCTGGACGTGAGCATGGTTGGCCCATGTGGTCTGATCTGGACGTGATCATGGTTGGCCCATGGATGCTCTGCGGCAATGGTTATGGTCTGATCTGGACGTGATCATGGTTGGCCATGGATGCTCTGCGGCAATGGATATGGTCTGATCTGGACGTGATCATGGTTGGCCCATGGATGCTCTGCGGCAAAAGATATGGTCTGATCTGGACGTGGTCATGGTTGGCCCATGGATGCTCTGCGGCAATGGATATGGTCTGATCTGGACGTCATTCGTTTCGAAGTCGCAGTAGACCATGGACGTCATTAGGTCATGGACATGGATGCACTGTTTCGAAGTCGCACTAGACCATGGACGTTATTAGGTCTTGGACATGGATGCGCTGCTGTGGACACGCCGGAACCACCGGTATTTGTGGTGTTTTCGGCAGGTGAACCACGCAAAACACCGCTGTTTCAGGCGCCACTAGAAACGTGGAAAGCGGACACGCCGGAACCACCGCTGACAGTGGTGTTTTCGGCATGTGACCCACGCAAAACACGGCAAATACCGGTGGAATCGGCACATGCGAAACGCGCGTTTACAGGTGGTCCGAGCCAACAACAACAACAGCAATGTGGGGGAGAGGAAAGGGGAGGGGAAGGGGGGAGGGGAGGGGCGAGGGGGGGGGGGAGGGGAGGGGGGGGAGAGGGGAGGTGGGGAGGGGAGGGGACAGCATAACGAAAAGGCAGGTTCGCATAAGAAAAAGCCAGGTGCGCATAGGGAAAAGCCAGGTGGGCATAAAGATAAGCCAGGTGTGCATAAGAAGGGAATCCAGGAGCATAAAAAGAAAAACCATCCGCATAACGCCTGAAACCATGGCCCCGGCATGCCGTGAGGGGGGCGGAGGGGAAGCCCGAAAAAAAGAGCATAAGGAAAAAAACCCTCAGCATAAAAATTAATGCCCAGCCCCCGACCTAAGCCGGTTTTGACCTAGACCCTTGAAGCCCAACTCCGTGCTTATTAGCCCAATAACTGCCCGTTCGCTCGGATGTTTCTCTTCGTCGCCGCAGGCTCCGCGCCGTGCGAATGAGGCTTGAGCATGCTTGAGCCATTCGGTGTTTCGCCGTGAAAAAGCTTGTCAATCTGCTTATTAGCCTAGCAACTGCCCGTTCGCTCAAATGTTTCTCTTCGTCGCCGCAGGCTCCGCGCCGTGCGAATGAGGCTTGAGCCATTCGGTGTTTCGCCATGTAAACGCTTGTCAATCAAGCAATCGGCTTCATGACACAGGCAATGCGATC